GTGAGCCAATTAAACGATATTCAAATCTTGCATTCAGTTAGGATCAATGTATCCCAATGAATTGATAGTTCTGGTAAACTGTATATTTTAGTGTATCTAAAATCTGCGTGACGATTTGAGCATTAAATTATATACACGAATCAGAAATTAATAATTGAAAAGTATTCATTTAATTATGCATGAATATAACAAAGAGATAAATGACATTAAAATATTTTGAAATTTTAATAAAAACTCATTTTTCTTAGAAAACAACTTTTGAAAAAGAATCAACATGTGAGAATCCTATTCAACTCGACAGATTCAGTTAAAATGAATTATTACAAATTGATACAACTGAAATATGCGAGGGTCTTTTTTAAAAACATAAATTAGTAATAATTCTCAGTTTATTTTTAAGAAAAGTATTCTTCTTTGTACTATAATGATAATGTTTTAAATAAATTTATGCATGAATAAATACGAAATACTCATTTTCATTCTGTTCATGTGTTCTTCAAACAATGAAATAAAGATCAAAACCTTGTCTTTCGCCTATAGAAATACAAAGGATATATATATTCATCATGGTCACGGTCATTCTCTCTTTCGATCTTCTTTTATTCTGTCAATACGATTATTTTAAGCTTCTATACATATAATATTATATTATATCTGATATTTATATCGATTAATGTTGATAAGTTAGACTATTTGAGTATCTTTCATTTTTTCTCGAAATTACCAATGAATATATTAATCTATTATAGAATAAGATATAAATTATCGTGATTACTAGAGATAATGATTATATATTTGTTTAGATCGTCTATCATCATTTATATATAAAATCGAAATATAACGATGAATTGTCTTCTTATCGTAACAACATTTGTTTTATTAAATCTTGTTCATCTGTCGATGAATCAGACAACGAACACAACTGTAACATGTTCATCAGGTGAAAGTCGATGTGGTTCAAAATGTTATTCAATTGAAACACATAAATGTAATTCGGGTTTTATTTGTCGTAAAGAAGAAGGTTGGTGTGGTAACAAATGTTTTAATCCATCAATACAAAAATGTATATGGGGTCTTATCTGTCTTAAATCAGAAATTTGGTGCAATAATAAATGCCTTAATCCAACTACACAACAATGTCGAACAAAAAAATTAATCGATATTATTATGAATTAGATTTGAAATATTTCTATTCAATAAACAATTGACTTTTTAATAAGAAAAATAAATATAAATATATTGATAATTATCCAAAAATTGTGTTTGTTTTTAATATTATTTGATCAATAATAAGAAAAATATTTTAATTGATAAAAGATAAATTATTGTTTATCAATGATTATATCGAACAATGAAAAAATAGAAATTTCTTTTTTAAATTCTCCATTTTTTATTCTCAAACACATATTTATTAATTTTACCTTTTTTATCTTCAAAACTGAGAAAAATACAGTAATAAATATTTATAATTATTATAAAACAAATCATAAATTATAGCGCCATATAAGATAAGATAAGATGAGGATCACGATTACAATTTATTTAAAGATAAAATACTGACAATTTATTAACGATTAATTGAACTAAACAAATAATAATTTTCATTTTATTTATCAAATTATTTTCATATCGACCGATTAATTAAAATACTTAACTGATAAAATTAACTTGATTACTAATATTTTTCTTTTTAATCAGTAATAAGAATAATTCTAACTGATTCAAATCTTCTTGTCCTTCAAATATAAAATATTTGAAATAATTATTTTTCTATTTCTATTATTTTGACAAATCTATTGGATAATTTGTTTGTTTTCATTTGATTTTTATGAAATAATATGATAATTCTATTAATGATCATTATACTAAAATTTCTACACATATAGAATCTTCATTTTCTCAGTATTCTTATTCATCTACATCCAACTAAATATAAATTTATACGAATGAAATAAAACAATGCTATTTTACTATTAGATACTATTCGAAATGGATTATGTCCTATGAATAATTCTCTTGCTAGTCAACTTGAATCTATCAAAATGGCCAATTTTGAGTTTATCTGTTTTGAAAATTATACCATCGATGCATATACAATTATTACTGATGGAACTATTTTTCAACATTTGATATAATTTTCTATTTATTCCAATATTAAAGATGAAATAAGTTAGATTTATTAATGCATCCAACATTGAGTTGACATTTCCATAACATGTATACTTTACGTATATATAAATATGATTAACAACTAATATTTATTTCTTGAATTTTGCGAATGACAAATCAGAGATATAGTATGACCTCAAAATAAAATTTATTATATTGTCTGATCAAGTTTTTTTCAGAATTAACGAATTCTAATCTGTTATAATGTTTTCTCAAAATTTTACAACTTAGTTCTTGAGACGATACTCTAATACCAAATGGTATGTCTATTTTTATTCTTACATCCATATTCATAATTTTATCAGAATCGAAATAAGAAGAAAAATACTTGTTGAATGTTCTAAGACCATCCGTATAAGATTAATTCATATATCTATTCAATTTTTTCTTTTCGAACTTAAATTTAATTATGTACATAATTCAATATGGAATATTTTTGATGAAATTTTATCTAAAAGAAAAAAATCGAAGGTCAATATGCCTCTATAGCTCAGTGGTAGAGCGCCAGTCTTGTAAACTGGAGGTCCGTAGTTCGATCCTGCGTGGAGGCATTATTTTTTTATATTTATTTTCATTCTTTTTCCTATAACTTATTAAAATATTTCTCTAGACTTTAGCATCAAAATTATAACTATAAAAATAATGATATACACTATTATTTCTCATTGCCATCATATGGTTTCATGCTCTAGTTTTTTAATAATAAAAGAAAATATTTATTCTTAATATGTCTGTCACAATCGAAAGAATAGAACTTTCATTGTAATATAAATATAATCTTTTCAAAACTCACTGGAATTAAATGACTATAAGATATTTGTATGATTGAATTTGAATTAAATTTTGTACAAAAGAAATGAATGAAGGTCGACATGCCTCTATAGCTCAGTGGTAGAGCGCCAGTCTTGTAAACTGGAGGTCCGTAGTTCGATCCTGCGTGGAGGCATCCTTTTTTTGTCTTTTATTCGTTTTCGAAAAATATCTCAAGTCAATAAGTTTGTATTGTTAAAAAGAAAAAGAAACGAAAGCTTCAATATGATTTCTAATAAATATGAAATAGATTGAAATGAAGTTTTTATTTCTCTCACGTCTATATTTAATATAAAATCTATTTTGATTAATTGATAATCTACATATTGTTTTTTTCTCATATATTAAGAAAGTAAAATGTGAATATGAACAGATGTTTATCAATTTTGATTTGATTAAAAAAAAATAGTAAAGTAATGTAATTGTTTTTATAAACTCATTTGTAAAAATGTTGTTTATTATTTCAATAATCCTATTAATTTTAAATTCAATAAATGGACTAAATTATCGTCCAGTGGTATTAATGCATGGTGTAACAGCTAGTGCATCTGATATGAATGAATTAGCTGGATGGATTCGTCAATCATTTGAAGGAATTTATGTTGTTGCAATCGAAATTGGAAATGGTTTTGAAGATTCATTTTTATTTCCAATGAATAAACAAGTTGAATTATTTTGTCAAAGTATATTATCAGATTCAAAATTAAAACAAGGTTTTAATATGGTTGGAGTTTCTCAAGGAAGTTTAATTGTTCGAGGTGCTGTTCAAAGATGTTCATTACCTGTTTATAATTTAATAACATTAGTTGGTATTCATCAAGGTGTTTTCGGTATTCCAAGTTTACAATTCCTTCCAGCACCATTTCGTGAATTAATTTCAAAATATGCATATGAAGAACCTGTTCAAAATGCTTTAAGTGTTGCTGGATATTGGCGTGATCCTTATCATTTAGATGAATATTATAAAAAATCTCATTTTCTTCCTGATATTAATAATGAAGGTAAAACAATAAATGAAACATATCGTTCAAATATGTTAAAATTAAATTCATTTGTAATGACATATTCGGATAAAGATGAAGTTGTTTCACCAAGAAAATCAAGTTGGTTTTTGGGTTATAAACCAAATTCACTTGATGTTGAAATATGGAATCAATCAAGACAATTTACAGATGATCTTATTGGTTTAAGAACATTATCAGAACAAGGAAAATTGTATCAATTTACATGTCATACAAAACATCAAGATGCTCAACATACTCCTGATAAAGATTTTATTTTTAAAAATATTTTACCATTCTTTAATAATACATTGTAATCTTTATTAATATTATTCATATATCTATAGAATTAGTTTAGATGATTTTTTCATAGTTGAAGAAAATTTTGTTTTTCTATTATAATTTTAAAATATTAATAAAGTTAAATTCTAATTCAGAAAATTCTTTCGTTCTTACCTCTTTTCAATAGAAAAATAATTTATCATATCTTTTTGACACATTATGAAATGTACTTTTATTTCTATTTTATTTTTCTTCTTCAATACTACGAATCTTCTTTTTTTGAATTTTAAATATTTGTATAAATATATTGACATTATTCAGTCAATGATATTCAATAGTTCATTTAATTGAAATAAAACCATCTTATATTTTTAATTCTAATACAATATATGTTGAATGTATTTATCAGTTTATTTAACTCACATCAATGAAAAACTACTTATTTGAATAATCAAATATTTATATAAAAGATTTCATATAAGATGTTTCGATCATAAGTAGCTCTTAGATGCATTTTATAATAAAACATAAAGATTAGAATATGACGCATATTATTTAACTAAATATATCGAATGTTTTTGTATATTAACTTATTGATATGATAAATACTAATCTACATGAATACATATTTATATAATATGAAAATATAAAATAAATAGATTATTTCTTACATGTATATATATAAAGTAAAAATCATTTGTTAGATTTTTAGTAATAGATTTATATACATAATTATTTATGATGGGATCTATTGGTATGTTAGTATTAAGAAACAATTCTGATACTGAATTAGAACTATACATATATTATTCAACAATTCAAATGACTCAATTAGTTTATGAAAAAATAATTCTTATAACTTATTCAATTATTCTTCTAATAAGTATAATTCAAACATTTTGGAAGAATAAATATATTGATAATTTCTTTACTTATATAAATGATGCTTATTCTGATGGAAAATTTGTATCAAATCAAGTTTCTATTGATCAACAAATAATAACTTGTTATCGATTTGATCAACGTTTCTCTTTAATTCCAAATCCTAAGCGATTAATTTTACCAATTATTACTACTCATATACAAATATTATTAATTATTGCAATTCAAACAATATTTATTCGAAAAACTGAATTAATAGAAGATGTTTGTCATTTTATTCACCATATGAAATACTTCAATGTGATGATAATAATGATCCATGTCAATTAAATAATACTGGATATGTTCCAAAATGTACTTATTATTATTTTGAAATGTCTCATGTAATAACAATGATAACATCTCTTATAACATGGCATTATGGACTTCGTTATTTAGTTATTAAATTAGTTCGATTTATTCGATGGATTATGTTTAGAAATGATGATCAACCACGAATTTTATGTTGCATTTGTTCTTGTTTTCGTTCAAAACAACGTATTATTAAATATATTATGTATTTTCAATATATTGGTTTGTGGATTTATTATTTCTGTATGGTATTCCTTGGTTTTATGTTTAATCTGAGCATCACACGTACTACTGTTCTTACATTAGGATCTGTTTGGATGCCTATACTATTAGCAGTAGATCGATTATTGGGACTTATTGCAGCTATCATACCTGAATTATTAGAAAATTGGTTAAATATATCAGCAAAACTCGAATATTTACAAATTTTAAATTCTAATCATTTGCATCTCAAGAATTTCGAACCTCTTATTCATTTGATTAATAAAAAAACAAAAAATTCTAAATTAACTGCAGACAATAAATTATCAAACAATATCAAAACTATTATCGAATAAACAATTTCATATGTAATTATATCAAATCATATAGAATGTCTTTGATTCATTTGAATTTAACAAACTTTTAATAATATAAATATTTTTTATTCAAAGATTTTATTATGATTGAAAGATCAATAAAATCTCTCTGTACAAATAGATATTTTTAAATTATAATTTATTATATCAAACCGGCCTGAAACGACTATAAAACGGCGTTTCACGGTCTTGTTTTTAGTCGTTTTTTACCGTTTACGGCGCCGTTGTCTTTGCCCTGGGTGTTAAAGTTTTCCCAATGAAATATATTTGTTAACTATTTTATAAAAATCCATATCGAATAAAATGATATGACAGAATAAAAAAACAAATATAATTAGTGTTCATATATCGAGTTCTATTCGATTATGATATGTAATTTTATTTAAATATGTAGATTCTTATATGATTTATTGAATAAGCAAAATAATTATGAAGAAGAGTGAATCGACAAAAAGCATGTGTGTATAAATTAGTTACAATGTACATTATTTGTTATAATATGTTCTTTTTTTTTGTACAAGCTGTCAAGCAATATGACAATGAGATAAAATGTCATGATTAATAATTTAAAAAGAAAAAAAATAATAATTATGAAGTTTGCCTGTAGTATTTTAAAGTTTCATAAATTTTTGAACTCGCAGATTTCCTACATCACCAATATACATATTCATTGCTGAATCAAATGCAATACCACGTGGACCATCTAATTGGATTGCATCACTACCTGCAGAACCATTTCCAGCAATAGTTGCGCCAATATTACTATTAGCACAAAATAACTGAATTCTATTATTTTGAGTATCAGCAACATAAATATTCATATAATTATCAAGTTTAATTCCAGTTGGATAATTTAAAAGAGTTGAATTTGAACCTGATACACCCGGTTTACCAGCAACGAATACACCTGATGAAGCACCTGGAGTCCAACGTATAACTGAATGTCCATTAGTATTTGTTATAAATAGATCATTACTTATAGATGGTAAATAATGAATACCCCATGGAGAGTTCAATGATGTATTTGCATTGCTAGTCCCAGTTCCACCGGCTACCAGAGTTCCATTAGTACCTGAAGTTGAATTTGTTAAATAACGTAAAATTCGATGATTTCCAGAATCAACAATATACATATATGTATCCGTTGAATCAAAAGTAAAATATCGTGAAGTATTTAATTGATTTAATGCAGATCCAGCTGATCCATTTACACCAGCTAAAGATGTTGCATTTTTTTGATCCATTAATGTACTTTTGTATGCGATAATTTCTAGTATCAGTTACATATATATTTCCATATATATCAACATAAACATCATTTACAAAATTTAATTGAGAACTATTTAATTTTGGTGATCCAAAGGTTTCAGCTACAACCATTGTACCTGGAACTTTTCTTAATAGTTTCGATACAATATAATTAGCGTTCTCATCCGCAGCATATAATTTATCATTTAAATCAATAAATACACCAGATGTTATTATTGGTGAGGATGAACTAAGTATAGTGATACCAGTTTTATTCCAAAGTAAATTACCAGATGTACCTAATAATTAACAGAAAATAATGATTAATTATTCAATATTTTATATCATCGGATGAATCAGTCAAATAAATAAAAAACAAATATAAAAGATCTTCATAAACGCTATCGCACTAAATATTATAACTGACTAGAATATCTCGTTACTTACATGGATTTTTTGTTGTTGAAGACGCGCTTGACGTAGTAGCTTCACTAGCTGTTGTACATGAACTAGTGCTGCTCGAAGTAGTCGAGGTAGCACTAGTTGTTGCACATGAATTAATAGTAGTTGTTGTAATCGAGATAGTACTACGTGTGGTAGTCGAAGTAGTAGTAGTAGTAGTTTTATTAGTTGTTTTATTTGAACTAGTATTGGTTTCATTAGTTGTAGTAATTGCTATAGTAGCATCATTACTTTTAATGCTTGAACTAACATGAATTGCGGTATTAATTTTACTAGTTATAGTAGTTGCAGTAGTACTACTTGAAGTTGTTGTTTCTCTAGCTGTAGTAATTGTACCACCAGTATTTGCAATAGTTGGAGTAATTCTGTTTGCCATAATAGATTTTATGCTATATAAACAAATGATTATATTGGGTAAAACAAAGAATAATGAAATAGTTTCGATCATTAATTACTATATAAACTTGTTCATTTTTTACTATTTTAATAATTTACTTAATCAATAACTAATACATAACAATTATTGATATATGAGGAAAAAAAAGATTTGTTTATGTAAAGATTAGTAATGATAAAGAAATTTAATGAAATATTTTTAATCGATTTGGTTAACATTGAAAAATATCGAAAATATAATTGAATTTTTGTGAAAGTTAAAGATTTGATATTGTAATTATTAAATGAATTTCTTGTTTTTTATATTTATCATATATTATACATAGTGAACTGATAATCATAATAAACAAAAGATCAATCTATCATATATCTAACAAAATCTCAATATTTACTTCGATAAACTTCTACAATTTTCTAATGAAGATCTTTGCGATTAATTAAAAACAAGAAATAATATATGTTCGTAATCTATTTTCTGACTATTTTTATATTCTCTAATTGTAACTTTACTTTTAAACATTCAACCTAATACTATAATGATTCTCAGACAAATAAATCCTCGAAGTCAATCTGAATATAAAATTAAACTAAAAACTATATTAGTTAAAAAATTTTGCTCATAAAATAATTTGTAACTTACTTTGATGCTTCTGCTATTTTATGTGACATAGCTAAAATAAATTCAATGAAAATATTTTTCTAATCTATGTGTTTATTATTGTATTAAATAATAAGAATAACTTACAATTAAATAATTGTTCATTATCAAGAGTAATCATTGTTATAACATCTTGTTGTTGAATTAAATTTCCATATTCTATTGATATATTTGAAAATATTTCACATCGATGACTCGATAAATCAAAAGTTAAAAGATAACATTGTAAATAATTTAAACAAAACATTTGACATTGTCTGGAATTTTTTTCAAACATAATAATAGATGGAGAACAACCGGTTTCATTACATATGTATTCTATATCAACAATCTTTTTTAACATAACTGATCGACTATTTTCACACTTATATATTATTATCGATAAAAATAATAATAATAATATTGTCTTTTCCATTATCAACAAAGATTTGAACTAAAAAAACAATATCTTCTAGAAAGAACTCTTTTTTTTTTAATATTTAAAGTAAAAGAAAAATTATTGATCATATATTATATAAAAAATGAACTTGAAGTTCTCACTCGTTTTTAGGAATAAATTTTTCTTCAATAAAAATCAAATTTGATAATTTATTCCCAGAATAAGAAGATTGAATAAGACATACTCGAAAAAAATAGGTTTTATTTGACTCAATTACCTCTTTTACTAATAAAGTTCTATTATATAGGTTTACTTCAGAAACAAACAACATTTTCAAAACTGTAAAAAAGAACAACTTGATTACTTACTTCATTTATAAAATCACTTTAAAGTTAAACACATGTAATTTTCAATATCTCGAAGTAAATTGAAAGCCTTTATTTTTACTCTACAAACAAATGTATATAATATGTTAACGTACTTTTATAAATGAACTAACTGTTGAAGTCATATTCTCAGTTAATTATATTTTTCTCTCAAACATATTTTCAAGTTTCTAGAACCTTCTTAATAAAACAAGTAACAGAATCAAACAAAAGCTATTTTGTAGAGTATATTTTATTATTTCTTCTTCTCATTCTCGCGATAAATTTTACTGAAGAATAATTTATTATTCACAACTTGTCGCCAACCATTTATATGAAAAAAAAAAGAATTAATTTAGTAAAAAGTATTTTACTTCTCAAGGTTATGATATTCAAGTAAATAGTTTTTCTATTTCAATTTTGTTAAAAGAAAAAAAAAATTGTAGTGAGATATTTCACATATTATTAAATCCTAAGATGAACAACTTAGATTATTTTATAATTTAAATTTAAAGAATTAATTGTATGTATATTCTAATGAATAATAATAATAATATATTTGAAGAAAATATTGAAAATGGTATTAAATGAATAGAAAACAAATGTTTGAATAAAAATGATGAATATTTCTAAAAAAAGAAGAAAAATCTGTCATAGAAAGAAATCGTTTTAACCAGCTGAAGTGAATTTTTTTGTTCGACCTTTTTGTAAAGATTTTAAAACATAATTAACAGTTTTATCTAACATTTTTTTATTTTGTACGCCAATTGAACATGATGCTGGATTATTACATGTATACCATGTTGTTCGACTAATTTTATTTTGATCATCTTGATGAATATCAACTAATTGAAAAGTTTTTTGATTATTTTGATCCAAATAAATTTTTTCTTGAAGTGTAAAAAATTTATCTTGTTGTTTTTCTTTTGTACATGCTATTGGTTTTATAAATGTTGATGTTATATTTAATTTTTTTGCATCTTGTTTTGGATAAATATTTCCTGAACAACTAAGAATATCTTTATGTCCACCTTTAGCTAGAATTAATATTTTCTTTAAATTTTTACTAAGTAAATTTAAATCAATATTAATTAATGATGTTACAATTGATTGAAGTTTAGCTAAAGATAATAATTGATAATCATCAATTATTAATAAACTTGTTGCATATTTTAAATCTTCAATAATATCTGTTGTTAATGTTAATAAAGATTTATTTAAATTTGAATTTGTTAATGATGATGATACTGCACGTATATGAATTCTTTCTTCTGTATGATTTGCATAAACATGTAATTGTAAACGTGTTTTTAATGATGGAGTAACTAATGTTGAACATAAATCAAGTTTACCACTTTTTTTATATGTTTTAAAATCAATTTCATATGGACATTCTTCTAATGCTTCATTATCACCATAATCATAATCTTCTTCAACATGAGTTGATTCACTTAATTGAAATAAAATTAAGAAAGAAAAGAAAATTTTTAACTTTAAACAAATCATTGTAAATAAATGATATATCTTTTTTTCTTTTCTTTTCCTTTTTATATCAAACGCGAAATCTTATTATCATAATCTATCATCTTAAATATCAATTCTCACTTATAAACGTTATCTATTGAGTAGGAAGATAGATAATATAAAATGATAGGTTTACTGACAAGGTTAAAAATGTTATCTCGATATTATATGAATATAATCGATGAGGTTTTTTTTTATCTTAAAAGATATATTTTACATTTTTGACTATTTATAAAATAATAAATATGAGTGAGATCTTATTTAAATTCATTTTTCTGATATTGCTTGAATAAAAAAAGAAAAATAAATATATAAAATTAGTCTTGAAAAGTAACAATTCTTCCAAATGTTTTATCTGTTCCCCAAATTCCTTTTCTAAGACAAGCCAATTGTACAATTTGACTATGATCAATAAATAAATTTGCATGTGCACCACTATTTTGAATATGATATGCAAATACTTCAGGATCAGCTGCTTCAAACCTAAAAATAAATTTATTTATTTATTTATTTATTCATCTCTAAATAATCAAAAATAAACAAACATAATTTTATCTTGTGGTAAATTTGATGTAATTGATGATATAACATCTGTTCTCCATGATTTAACATTTTCTGTAATACCTTCTGATTCAATCATTATCATCTTTTACAAAGAAAAAAACGAAAATATTTAAAAAAAAATTCTTTATTTATTTATTTATTAAAAATACAAACATATGCACCAGCATCAAGAAATCTTTTAGCACGATCAATTAACCATTTTGGATCACGTGTTCCAGCATTTTCAAGTTCTTCAATCGATGCATCACCACCTGCACCCCATTGAATACCAACTTCTGGTTTAGCTTTTAAATCATATGATAAAACTAATTTAACAAGTTCAGTCCAATCATCAGCAGGAAGACTTAAAAAACCTGAACTAATTTCTAAAACATCAAAACTTTACAAAAACAAAATATTTACATTTTTATTTTTATAAAAAAAAAAACAAACAAATTACCCTAAATCTTTACATGTTTTTAAATATTGTTTAATTATTTGTTTATTTCCAGCTGATGAAGCTAATACTCTTTCAATATAACCACCTGTACTAACATAACAATTATGTTTATGTGCAATATCAATTAAACCACGTAAACGATTTTCAGGCATTAAAGAAAATGATCCACCAGCAAATCTTAAATATTAAAAAATTATTTTAGTAAAAAAATTTCAATTGAAATAAAAATTGACGATAACTTACTTAATTCCGTCAACATATTCTCCCCAATCTTGTAATAATTCATCAAGATAAGTTTGTGTTACTGGAAAATAATAAGGTCCACGAATTTCTGTAATACCTTTCTTTCTGTTTGGTTTTGATGGTAATTTATTTGTTGGTAAATATGGAAATGCTGATGATTGTTTTGAACAATTATTTATTAATCGAATTGATTTTAATAAGGAAATATTACATTGAAGAAAATATCGATAATTAAACATTTTTATATTAAAAGAATTTATCGAATTGCTTTTTTCTTTCTCTATATAAATATTTTATTAAACTAAAACGATTTGTTCATTCGTTAAATATTTCATTTATTCTTCTAAAATAAATAGATGTCACATGTTCATAGACAAATATATTTCTATTACACTTATTCTTATTTCAGGAATAAATCAATTACATTTATACTTGAAAATTAATCTTTTTTTTCAAATCTCTCCTTCTATATATACAGAATATTTCGTATCTTTGCAATACTGTTCTCATTTACTCATTTGTATATAAATCCAATGCAATTTGTATTGAATAATAACATGAATGATACACTCTTCAAATATCTATCTTCAGGCATTTTTTCGATCATTAAACACTGGAATAATACAAATTTATATAGAACATGTTTTAAGTATTAATCTTTTCAAAATAATAATTGTTTAATTAAGAAATATTTATTTTAACTTTAGATTTCTCTTTCTCTAAAAGCAATAGAATTTAAATGCGCTATTTAAAAACTATATAGTATAAGAATAAAAAAAAATGAATTGATTTAATTATAAATAATATTTTTACAAGAGACATATATACCAATACTCCGTATGGAGTGGAATGAAACCGACTTTTCGTTCCACAAGTCAATATAACTCCTCTAATGAGATTCCATGGGATGTGTCACACTATAACAAAACTCTATTAATATGGTTTATCATATACTCGATTTTTATAAATACAAAATAAAAGTTATTTCAATACTTTTCTCTACACAATAATATTTTTTCAAAAAAGAAAACTAGAATAAGAATAATATTACCAGTAAAAGAGGTAATTAGTTAAATATCAAGAAATGTTTCATTTCAATTTTTCCATTATTCAAATAAATAATATATTATTCAGATACTCTAGACCGAAACTGATTCTTCTTTCATTTAACATAATACCTGTACAAATGCAGAGATATATGAAAGCCGATTGAAATCTACTGTTTCATATTTATTCGACTAAAATAAAATTTTTTTAATAATAATAAGATAGTACAAAATATGTATTTAAAATAGAAACAAATCTATAGAATATCCATAGATAAAATGGTATGCATGAGTTTGGTCGAAAGCCAAAATGTCGAAAAAATTAAAAACGATAGGAATAAGATCTTAGCAGTGTAGCTGTTGTCAGAAATAAATAATAGATAAAAGTATGTTTTTAATTATTTTATTCAAATAATAGTAACAAAATAAATATAACAAAATAATAATAAATAATTATATATGAACTAATAATGATTTATCTGGTATGAGGGCAACTGAGCGAAATAATTTTTCTCGATGAGAGGTATAGACGAAAAGTGAGGGTGAGGGCGAAAGGTGTTTCACAGTTGTGACTTTCGCTTAATGGAAACCATATCAATCTTCTTTCTAGTACTTTCTCAACATCGACTTTACTAACATATTACCTTAAACCATATCCGAAATTTTCGACATTTTTTCTTTCGACTA